TGTCCAATTAATTTCTTTCTAATTTTAGTAGAGGCGGGGTCTCGCTTTTGCTCAGGCTGGTCTCGAACTCCTGAACTCAAAGGATCCGCCCGCCTCAGCCTCCCAGAGTGCTGGGATTACAGGCGTGAGCCACTGCGCCCGGCCAGGCCTCACCTTCTGATCCTACCCTGGCTTCCTGTCTAAATGCAGGAGCCTGCGGTATTTTTCTTCTGGTGCCTCAGAGGCTCACTCTCTTCCATTGCCCTTGGCTTCCCTGGAACTAAGAGTGGTCCTCTCCTACAGCGAGAGGCAATTTGGAGAAGATGAGAAAGGAGCAGGGAACAGAAGTGGCTTCAGTTTAACGCAGAGAAGTGAAGGGATCTAGTGTTTCCGAAGTTTCGACGTGCTATAATGGTGCCTCATCAAATCCCTCTCATTTTATCACAAGGAGTTCCTAGCCCTGTACTCATCACTGCAGTTAGTTTACCGAGTGGAGGGATAATGCTGAGAATAGTTCACATTCTTGAAAACTGTCTTTATGCTGATAAGCCTTCTTCGTTTATAGATATAGAAAGTAATATACATTTTGCCTTCTAATAAACCAAATGTCTATGTTTAAGCATTAAAAGAAAGAAATAAATAAAAATAACGTTCAAACCCAACACATTTGCCGTTGGGGTCAGAAGCAGCTACATTCCAGGAGGGGGACGCTACTCTTCACAAGAGGACGGAGTCCTGGGGGTCCATCGGGTCAGAGACCACTCACACGTGCACATCTGGGAAGCAATCCAGGGACACAGCCGTGATGCCCACCTTTGGCCAAGTACTCGCAAAGTGCCAACTGACAGCCTAGTAACTAATTACATGTGGCTTTCAGTCTAAAACTTCCTAGAAAATAAAACTAAAAAAAAAAAAAAACTAGAAAAAATACTACAAAATGCATTTGAAACTATTACATTTATCACATTTAAGCAATTTATTGTATTAAAACTAACAAACCAGACAACAGTATTAAAATGTGGTAATTTTTTATTGCTTTTACTTTCCAATAAAATAAATACTTGCTACATAGTCTTGCCTGAAATTATAAATTAACTGTTCTGGGTTATCAAGAAATGAATTATTTTATTGAATTTATAAAATATTTACCTTTGTAAGAAATTACTTTTTTCTTCATTATTATGTACCATTTAAGGATAGTAAAGCTATCTTAAGATTTCAAATTTGAAAAATCTACCTATAAGTTTTAAGAAGTGCATTAATCAAGGTACAATTAATATTAACATACACATATTCCATAAACTGAAGCCGCGTAACATGAACATTAGCCGTTCGCGTTGTTATTTTTCTCTCCTACACTATGGCCTGACTGGAACAGTGGTTCTCAGCTGGAGTGACTCAGCTGAGTGGCCCCCAGGGACAACTGCTATCATCTGGCTGTCACAGGAGAAGGGTGCTCATGGCACTGGGCGGGCAGAGCCCAGGATGCTGCCAGCCACCTGTGGTGCACAGGATGGTCCCACAGGAGTCACCCAGCCACGTGCAGGTGGGGGCCGCGGGTGAGGAGTCCCGCTGTGCAGGACTCGGTGCCCTTTACGAACAGCCTCTCTGCCACTGCAATTCTGAAAGCCCACACTCTGCTCACCGGCAAATACTATTTATTTATT